AATAATTCAGATTTCAGATTTATTGGTTGAGGATAGAAGGCTTGCAGCCTATGTTAATCCTTTTCTAGTAGATTTCTGTGGTTGTCCAAACCCTTCTTGAACGAATCAGCTGAAGTTGCAGACACCATTTCTTCTGGGAGTCGGTTCCAAGAGTTTATGACTCGATGTGAGAACCAGTACTCAACAGCAATATGATTTCTCCTTGGCTTTTGAAATTTCCTGCTATGTCCTCTAAGGTGTTCCGACCTGGTGGGAAGGAAAAGAGAGAATAGGTCAGGTCCGTAGTCATTATTTAAAATTTTAAACATTGTGATTAAATCTCCTCTCTGCCTACGGTATGACAGTGAGAAGAGATTTAAACTATCTAGTCTTTCCTCGTATGATAAGTTAGCTATGCCGTGAACCATACGTGTTGCCTTCCTTTGAACACTTTCTAGAATGTGTGAATTCCCTTTTAGACAAGGACTGGCGGCCTGGATGCAGTTTTCCAGTCTTGACCTAACCAGAGATGTGTATAAGGAGGTGAACATATCGCTGGTAATTCTTGTAAAGGCTCTGCGAATCACCCATAAGGACCTGAAACTACGTGCAGCCACCGCGCGACAGTGTGCTGTAGTTTTTAAGTCGTGGCTAACTATGACACCTAAGTCCAAGTGAGTCTGAACTGATGGAAGTGTTATTCCCTCTAATTCATAGGGGCTTGTGCTTGATTGTCCAATGCGCATGGTTGCACATTTTGCCACATTGATCGGGAGCATCCATTTAACAGACCACTCCGACAATTTGTTGAGATCCTCTTGCAACTTGAACGTATCACTGTTGTTCTTCAGCTCTCTCCAAATTTTTAAGTCATCTGCGTATAGGACCATAGGGGAGTCGGTGAGCAGAGGTAACTCATTGATATACAGAATAAAAAGGAGAGGACTGAGAACCGTGCCTTGTGGCACTCCGCTACTTACTGCTGTCCAGGAGGAGAGTTTTGAGTTGATCCTAACCCTCTGCCTCCTATCTATGAGGAATTCCCTGAGCCAGTCTAGTAGTCTGCCTTTGATACCAAGACTTTCCAATTTCATGAGTAGTCTTTTGTGAGGTACTTTATCAAAGGCTTTGCTGAAGTCTATGAAGACAACGTCAACGGGTCTTCTGTTGTCCTTTGATTTGACCCAGCTTTCTCTTGCAGTCAGGAGATTTGACAGGCATGAGAGGTTCCTCCGGAAGCCATGCTGTGCTCCAGATAACAAGCTGCTATTTTCCAGATAAGCCATGATGCTTTTCTTAATAATTCTTTCCAGTGTCTTGATTAAAGTGCTGGTGAGACTGATAGGCTTGTAATTTGAAGGGCTTTGTCTTGATCCTCCTTTGTGTATGGGGGTTACTATGGCGTCTTTCCAATCACGTGGCAACACTCCATTTAGGAGAGATAGCTTGAAGATCGTGGTCAAGGGGCCGGCTATGTGGGCTGATAGCTCCTTGAGAAGCCTTGGATTAAGATTGTCAGGACCCATTGATTTCCCTGCATCTAGTTTCATTAAGCAGTTGAGCACGATGCCTTGGTCGATGTCAACGGAATCTATCCCATGTTCTTCTGATGCAGCCAGAGCTGATCCTATAGGCACTGATGACTTCTGAGTGAAGACTTGGGAGAAGTAGTTTGCCATTGCTGCTGCTTTTTCTTTATCTTCTTCGATTGTATCTTTGTCAATAATCAGGTTTGGGACACCATTGGGTGTTTTATTCCTGAAATTTAAGTACGAGAAAATTTTCTTAGGTTGTGCCTTTGCATTTTGAGCCAGGTGTGTCTCGAACTTCATCCTTGATTGGCGGATTTCTGCGATAGCTTTATTTCTAGCAGTAGTATATAATTCCCTGGTCTCAGAAGTCTCAAGTGTTGCAAACAGGTTCCAACATTTGCGTTTACGTCTGAGTAACTTACGAATCTCCCGGTTTATCCAAGGGGGGGAATGTTTCCGACCCTTTGGAACAGACCAAGGGATGAAAGGTACAGTTACTTGGGCGTAAAGTTGCTTAAATTGGTTCCATGCGGCTTCTACTTGGGACTCTGGGTTGATGTACCAGTTTACTGAGTTGGCTGCTGAGACGGTCGCATTTATGTCAGCTTTCCAAACGTTTGGTCAAGCTGGGGTTTTGGCCCTTGCTGCCGTTGATGTGAACTTGAAAGTGAGCACAGCATGATCACTTCTTCCTAACGGAGGAAGATGTTGTATGAGATCCACATCCTCACCGTGGGAGAACACTAGGTCCAGAGTTGACGAGGAGTGCTGTGAGTCATAGCGCGTGGGCTTAATGATATGTTGGACTAGGGCTAGCGATATACTAGATTCTAGCAGTTTATGATCAAAGGAGTTGACTGAAGATGGAGTTGTTAGGCTCGACCAGTCAACTGTTGGGGCGTTAAAGTCGCCGACTACGAGACTTCGACATTTTGAAGTCCAGGAGCCTAGCTTCTGTATTAGGAAGTCGTCCGCACTGCAGTCAGGACTGCGGTACACAGCAATGAGGTCAATGTCTTGGCCTATGCATTTAAGTCTGCAGCGTAGAAGTTCGCACGACTCACTTTCGTGGGCGAGTGCTTCGATACTACGCACGGTTAAGCCTTTCTTGAGGTAGATGACTACGCCCCCTCCTTTGCGGTTTAGTCGGTCTACCCTGTGCACTTCGAAGTTTGGCAGGTTAACGTCGTTGTCAGTGACATCGGGTGTGAGCCATGTCTCTGTGATAATAATTACATCCGGGTTTCCGGTTTCTCTCATGTTAGCCAGCTCAGTCCTTTTATTTAACAGGCTGCGGGCGTTTGTGTAGCAGACTGTTAATCCAGATTGGTGCTTCCCCGGCCCACCCACAGAGGTTTCGGGATCATTAAACTGCGAACTCGGACAACCCGAAAACCCTTAATCTTAAGGTTCTTCTCGCCGTTCCGGCGTCGCTCACTTAATTCGAGTGCCGCAGCCTGTCTTTTGACACGGTCTGCTAGGCTTAAGTCAGCGCGGACATATATCCCTGATCCTTTGAGAATATGAGAGTTGCTTAGAATAGCATCCCTCTCTGCTTTAGAGTTTAGTACGACTTTGAGGAGACGTGCAGGTTCACTTACTGTAGGGTCAGGTTTTTGGCCTATTCTGTATACGCTGTGTATAGCAATGCCTGATACTGTTTGTGGCAGTAGCTTGTCTAAAAGGGGCTTGACCAAGTTAAGGTCATGCTCGAATCTGGCCTTAGGATCGAGGGCCAGTGACTCCTCCACTTTGTGGAGAATGAGAGACCTGTCAGAGAGATCGAGTTTGCTTTCCGTGACTTTCTTGCCCTGAGGCGTAAGTGTGTTTCTATCCTTCTTGGGCGGTGTAGCCGAAGTGTTATCCTTATCTCGCTTTTTGCGAGAGACTACAGTGCGCCATTCATTGGCGTCCTCCTCGCTAATCGTAATGGGGTTTGTCTGTCTGCTGCTCACCGGTGTGGATGAGGCTTGTTCCGCCAGTCCCTGGGCGACTGGAGCTGCAGGTTTTCGACCACTGAGTACGCCTCTTCTTCGTGGCAGTCTTTCCATTACTGTCACTGGAGGGCTTATCCAGTATCGTGGGGGCGACCTGGGTGTCTGGAATGTGGTGGGTGTTCTTCTGTGCTGTAGAGCACTCACTTATTGGCAAGGTCGCATCGGGGACATGTGCTGTTTTGTCAATAACGCTAGTCACGTCATCGTTATCTGAGCAATAGTTGGTATTCTTCTGTGGTGGAGGACGCTTGCAGTCCATGGGCTTTAAAGCCCCACTAAGAGTAGCAATGGCTTCAGTAATACGGAGTCTAGTTGTACCACAGCAGTCGTTGCACAACCAGTTTGCTAGAGGTTTGCAGCAGCGTTCGTATGCTGCTGGAGTAAGGTTCGTGTACATACTGTGAAACCATCTCTTGCAGTTATCACACTGCATTCCTTCATCCACTGGAAGCTGGCACATAGCCCTTCCGCAGCGGTTTCTTTTGATAGGCATTTTATTTAAAACAAACCAGGAAAAATTAAATACAACTTCAAATATATATATAACCTTTATAAATCAGTGATAAAAGCTAATGAGTGCACAAAGATAGGTATATGTAGCTATTATGTTATAAGAACACAAATTCCTATAATTAATAGACTCAAATCTAAAACGTAAACTAACTTCGATCAGAATAAACTGATTTAAAGTTAAATCTGTGGACTTTTTGAGCGTATAACACAACAAAAGCCAATCATAAAACAAGAGCTTGAAAATTAACTCCCTTTTCAAAGTTCGCGCGGTATAATGATCTTATATATTCTAACTGTTGAAATTATACAACATTCCGAACTCTGCACTATTTTCCAGCATAACTCGCCTTATTTTTCACGCTAACTGGCTTTTATCCCGGATTATTTCCTTATCTTAAGCATCACTTTAGCACAAAGTGCTTTCTGTCAACATTAAGTGCATGATTTCAGGACAGAATTGGTTCTCTAAACATAAAAATCCTATTATCAGGCTTCTACATTATCAACGCATCTTTCGGCCTTATTTCCGCATTGCTGTGAGCTCAGGTGTCTTTGGCTTCACTATTAAGGCGTTCAGTTTTTGAATTTCTTTAACCCGTTATATTTCCATTATGTCATAAATGTCAATTTTAATGGCATTTAACGACAGATTTGCTTGTTTTAAAGAAGGAAGTGTAAACATGATGGTCAAGATTCGGAAGTCATAGCTTTTGTCCGTAGGTAATAACACTGTCTTGTTCAGCAAACTAGAGAGTTGCATCGAGATTGAGATGTATGTTTCCAACGAATAAGAAGCAAGCACAATTTAGCTCCTGCATCAGAAAAGAAAGCTTTGCGCCAGTGTTTTTCCCCACCTGATTTGTAAAATGAACAATTCTTGAATCTTTCAGTGTCAACAACTAAAGTGGTCAAATGTCGTAAATTTTATTGACTGGAGTCCTAAAACTTCATGTCAGTAAGGAGTGAGACGATCGACCGTACATCATTCTGTGATTCCAGGACCTCCTCCACGCCACTCTCGGACACATGCCCAGAGTCACTATAACCATTCGGGTTCAAATCAAAGGCCTACTCGTTGTGTGATATTACTCAACAGCCTTCTCAGTGTATGCCCAATTCATGCATCTCCTTCTAAATATTCGTTGAGTCACACGTTGTTGGTTTTGATTTACTGTGACATCTCCTTGTCGCTTACTCATTCTGTCAGGTCATCTGATCTCCTGTATGCAGCAAATTGTGTAGGTACTGATGTAAGTCTCTGCTAGCCTGCTGATGAGAATGCTAGTCGTAACGTGTCAATTCTCAAAACCGCATAAAATATATTAATCTTCGTGCTTAGTCCAGTAGATTTCCAAACTGATTTCAGATACATGGGGATGGGTCTTGCTCTTTCACTTGTGACTTTGACATCCTCATCTGTGCTGTCTCTGTGTGGTGGGATAGATGCTTCTGCCTAGCCAGGTTAGTGAAAGTGGAGACTTTCTTCAAATTTCGCCCGTCTATGGTGACTGAAGATTGTTTTTTTTGTTGTAGGTTATGTATTTTCATCGTCTACTCCTGTCGTCCAGATGTACACTTGAAGTCCTGTTTTCGCTGCCTGTTTGCCTCTTCTACGAATTCATTGGTTGTCACCTTGGAGTGTATATGACATAGGAAAATGAAAATCATCTGTGAAATCCAAATCTTTTATTGCCGCCTTATCAGTCTAGTTATGATTTACTAACTTGAGAAACTACAACTTATTTTTTTAATCATATTGGTTTATTATCATGAGAAAAATGTAGCAAAGGTAATTGAATAATCCTTTGCAGTTGTATGCGGTTGGCAATGGGTCACACGTACTCTGTGTATGAAGGCTACAGATACTATCTCTGCCTACCCAAACCTCTGTAGTCGTAGTGGTATTTAAGCCAGAGACTGACTAATTGAAAGTCAAGCCTTCTAGACCTATAAGCCGGGATTTACAGCTCAAACTGTCAACAACACTTGATAGTAGAATCAGGACAAGGTACCTTTTTTTAAACTATTTGAAAGTAAATTTAAGTCTTCACAAAGCTACACCTAATGAGATTGAAGAGTAGTCTTCGTTTTTAGATGCATTACAGTGAAAAAGTCAATAAATTAAAGTAGCGCTTGAGTTAACATCAAAAGTTTGCTTTTCACAACGATACAGAAATGTAGAGGCAAGAGAAACCTCATTTATGATTCATCCTAAATCTAATAGTTAATTTCCACCTTTCCTCTTGACTTTTGATTCCATCAATTTAACTTAGCTCCAATAAATTTCTGCGTTTTTGTGCTTTGCTGTTGTCTAATTAACAACACTTGAAGTAATTTGGTAAATTTTGACTGCCAGTGGAGCAGAGAGAATACGTATTTCGTCCTATTTGAGATTTTTCATCTGGCAATGTACTCACATTCTTCAGTGAGTGAGTGAATGAATGAATGAATGATAATGTGTCTGCTGAGACTGGAACACAATATCCATAGTTTCCTATACTGGAGAATTATCTACTGTTTGTCTGTTTTTGACAGAGAACTTTGCACATATGAGCGGCAGTTCAAGTCGCCACACTCCCTCCTTGAAGCACACAAAGCAAGAAAAGAAATGCATAATAGAGACAGTGAACAGAGGTGTGAGACAAAGGAATAGTAAAAACGAAGAGCAATATAGTTTCATTAGAAATCATAAGTCACAGAGATGCATCTGCGCTATGCATTGAGAACGATTTTGAGCCATGTCACCCATTGTTTCAGCGTTCATTGATTTTTACCGTCCCGAGGACCCCAACCAGTCAGGCAGTCTACACCTTCCTACGTGGCTTAAACTAACTGTTGTGGATTTCATTGACAGATGAAGCCATGTTTTGGTTTGACCACCACTAGCTCTTTTCCAGCCTGACCCTGTCAGCTAAGATTGCCTGTTGTCGAGGAAGGGGATGACTAGGCGTACATAACGCATGTCCTAGCCATCTCAGTCGATGTAATTTCACAGCCTCGTTGATTGATTTCCCCGCCTTACCTAGCACTCTACGTCTAACCTCAATATTGCTCACCTTATTATACCACTTCACACGGGAGATAGAGCGCAGGCACCTATGATCAAAGATAGCTATCTGGTCTTTTCATGTCTTCCACTCTCAATGGCCAGGTCTCACAGCCATAAAGAAGGACGGAGCGAACTGCTGATGTGCAGTACACCCGCCCTTTGGTCGATAGCCAGCCGGATATCACGTCTACTAAGCCAGAGACGGCATAAACTGGCATATGCGAAACGAGCCCTCTGTATCCGTGCTGAGATTTTGTCAGAGATCAACCGCTGGGACTGGCTGATGCAACTTCCCAAATAAGTGAAGCGGTCAACACGCTCAGTCACCACTTCACTCCCTATTTCTAAACTAGGAGTCAATGTAGCCCAGTCCTGTAACATCATCTTACATTTGACGGGAGCGAATCGCATGCCATTATCTACTAGACTGCTTTGACCACCTGTGGAATGCAGGTACATCCAGATGACGAGTCTCAGACAGGAAGAAGTGCTCATTCCAAATACTATTTGCTAGTCATAAACCATCAGATTGCTTCAAGTTAATCCTCGGACACTGTTAAAGCGTCCATAATAAGAGCCGACATGCATGTTAACTTATTCTGAACAATCAATCAATCTACTTCAGTGTCATTTTATGGCATTTCACTGTTCTCCGTTTACTGGAATATGTAGTTAAAATGTCAATATTAATTTATGTGTGGGCACTGTGGTAGTAAGTAATTCTACATTAGTTTGTTTATTAGATGTATCACACACACAGTGTGAAACAGTATTATTTACTGGATGATACAGCTTCGAACAAAATTTATTGTTCATAATCATATTATAACAACAGAAGACAAGGGCCGGCAACAGATCCTTTTATTACGGAAATCAGCACGTATTTATACATATTTCATGTACATTATTATAGCTTATTCAAGCAGACAAACACAGTCTTCTGATTGGTTGTTTCTGGTTTCTGGAAAGTTACGCCATATATCTGCGAATCTTATTTGCCCACGTTAAGTCTGCTGTGACTGGTTGTTGAATCAGCCTTGTTCATATTTTCTCATGGCCAATATTAGCGACCTAGACATTGACGTAAATTAATGTCTACCAAATTGGCTAGCAGCCTGCTCTCACCACAATATCATCAATTATAATCACACGACTTTCAAACTTGAATCTTATAGTTTCCTTTGTCTTCTCCTATTTGTCGTCGTTGGGATAGTAGAATTTTTCAGATATCCACCTGGACAAGTGTTGAATCATTCCTATTACATGTATTCGCCTCAGTTGATTCGATAAACGAAGCTTCTGTTATCAATCTCTCCCTATACCCCTGTGACTTTAGATTTTAAAACTGTCATCCTATCCCATCCAGCCTATTGTATGTCTGTGTGTAACTTCGTGTAGTGCTACAGCTGAACTATTCTCTAGATTTCTTATCTTATTTGGGTCAACCAATCTAGATTTTGGTAGGTTTTAATGCTCGGCTAGTCTGACTGCCCCTGTTCTACTAGTTTGACCTATGTATTTGACCTGACAATCATCGCAGACAGGGTATTAGATAAATTAAATTGTTTTGTTTTAAAGGCTCCACAGGGTTGACCCTTTAACCGACAAAGCTTGTTTCTAATTGAGTTTGTGGGCTTGAATAATAATGTTAATAATAATAGTGATAATAATAATGTTATTATTAATATTAATGACGACACCAACAATAAGGAATCCAAATCATCAGTAGTAATTCCATACAAGCAAGGAACCTCGAGAATTGGTTTCATTCTACCCTCGTATGATTACTATTTCTGATTCATCTAAAACTATCTTTTATCAGTAGCATTATCTTGACTCATTTCAACATTATTAATATTATTATCATTTTTGTTATTATTATTACTCAGTTGTCAATTGTTGATATTTTTAAGTTCTTTCTCTAATGACTAATTGTTCATCTAAGTAATGTAATTGAAGCGTAATGCATTTTATCTTAATTTTAATTTGTTATACTTCCTTCCTCTTATCTATTTGGAAATGACCTGGAAAACATTCACATGTATCGTTTTGTATGACTAGCTCAAGGTAGTTTATTTGCTTATCAGTCTTGTTACCTCCCAGTGTATTTCTAATAGTATATATAGGCCTGTATGTAGAGTATTCAGCTGAAGAGTCCTAGGGAGACCTGATAAATTCATTAAATCCTGCTTTATTACCCCCCCCTGTATGTTGCTTGTTTTAAATTCGTATCAGGAAATAAATGTTTCTAATAGGATTCAGTGTACACTGACTGACTCCAGGATCTAGACGCATAGCATTGGTTACATCAACTACTGTTCTACGAAAAATCAATCGTGATCCTGAATAGCTTATTGGTAATATCTCTGATTGCAGTATTGGGTGACGCGACGGGTTCCAATCTCAAAGAAGAGATACCAGTTCTTTGAGCTTAGCAGATACACCTTCTGATGATCACCTTCAGGTGTTAAGCATTGATTAGGTGTAGTATCATTAGCTTATGCAATAGATAGTGCGTCAGTAGTACAGCCGTAGTATGCTCGTCAATCACGCCTCATGTGGTCTAAGGTTCGATCCCCGGCCACTGCTACCGAAACTTGAAGTCTCTAGCTTAAAGAAAAGCCCTATGTTCCACTGGGAAGATGTAGGAATAAGAAAAAGGCGCAATAGATGTGGCTTTATGCTTAAGATATTGAAAATTATTCACAGTTTTTAAACACATTACTGACTGGCTGACCGACCGAGTTTCAACACAGAAACTTTGTACATAAGTCCAGCAATTCAAGTTGTCACACTTTATGTGACACAAAAGTGTAGAGAAAAGAGACTCAGAAGAATTCTTCTGATAAGTAGAAACGTCTAAGAGTAAGAATAGTAACATGCGAAAATATGACGCTTTATTGGATTTTGGAGATTAGAATTTAATTTGTGGATGGTGACTAGCAGTGGTGGAATCAAGGATAACGCGCATTTCGTCCTATTTGGGAATAGTCATCCAGTGGATGTACCTGCATTCCCCAGTGAGTAACGATGTTCCTGCCGAGGCTCGAACCCAGTGCCCATAGTTTCAAATACCAAAGCGTTATCCACTATACCACTTGGGCCACGAGAGCCACCTCTTGTGCAACGGGTCAATTTAACTTTTTTTGATTTTCCCGTCGATTGATTGGACCGAAGTGCTCGGTCTCTGGGCACTGGGATCGAGCCTCAGTGGAGACATCATCACTCACAAGGGAATGCAGGTACATCCACTAACTGACGAGTCCCAAATAGGACGAAATGCGCGTTATCCTTGATTCCACTGCTAGTCACCATCCACACATTAAATTCGAATTAATTAAATGCCCAGACATTGCCGAAGCATCTGCACAAGAAGCCGATATGTCAACCTGAGACTGAGCACTTCGATCCAATCGACTGACGGGAAAATCTAAAATTCAGTCAGATTTTAGAGATTATTACGAAGATTGAGTAGATCTGTGCCACTGAGTACAAATTTTAGTCATATAACCAATACTCGATAGTGATTGATTTTTAGCATTGAGAAGACCCCAACCAAGCAGTCTACACCTCTCTACATGGCTGGCTGAAACCGGCTGTCGAAGACTTGATAAAGTGAAATCAAATTTTTGGCTGACCATTACTAACTCTTTTCCAATCCAGTCACTGCTATGTGAAATAACATTGCTGGAAGAGAAAGGTAGTAGTGGCTCAGCATGCTTTAGCACGAGTCTCATTCATCTCAGTTGATGTGACTTCAGAATGTCATGGATTGACTTACTCTCCTTACTTAGAACTGTGCGCCTAACCCACTGTATTGTATCACGGCGGAGAACTGAACGCAATGGAGACGAGCTGGTGAAGCCCTATGTTCCTCTAGGAATTAAAGGAAAAAATAATCAATAATAATAATGTGTTTATTGGTAAAGGGTAGACTACAGCCAGATATGATGATCTACTTTAATAAGTGAATATTGTTTATTCGATCAATTTTTTTGTTATGTATCAATCATTGTTTTATATTTTTGTCAGTCTTATGTGTGTGTGTGTGTGTACCATGATCGAGATTTCTATTTCTTATTTGTTTGTGTTATTCTATTTGTAATTGTCTTACAGTTATCAATTCGTCTGTATATTTATTGTACTGCAACGTGTCTACTAGTCAACAAAAATGTATGCCATTCGTTCATCGTCTGCTCTACGCCTATTCCACTTCTTCTGCTTCGTCATTATCCTCTTCTCCTTTACAACTACTGTACAACTTATCCGTTCATATGGTGATGAAGTGAGTTTTGCCTGTCGTTTTGGAAAAAAATTAATCTCTATTTTAGATATTGTCTGCAAACAGTACATCGTGTGATAATACCAGCCTATATCATATATCCATCACAAATGAAACACATAGAACCTGGTTTCTAATTATGGCTGAGGTGCATCATCCACCAGCTGTTATTTTAGTGCATACAAAAGGTGATTCTGAATTGAGTGTCAACTGTTCTGGATTCCATACTTCAAATGCATTAGAGTATAGAAATACAGTTAATATTACCAATGTTATTCAATCCTATGGATGGATCTTACACAGGGTTTGTGCATATATATATATATATATATATATATATATATATATATATAGTGTTGTTATTATTATTATTACTAATACTTTTATTCCATATGATTAGATTATGCGTTATAATGATACAGACAATACTGGAATAATTCCAGAAGCTGCTTCAACATCGACTAAAACATTCTTGGGAAGTAATCTGGACTGGAAGTTGACTAAACTCGACGATTCCAACAAGGAACCAGTGACAATTGAATTTCAAGCTCAGCATTCTTTAGATAGTCATGAAAAAATTAATGGTGCTATCAAGTTAATTGTGAGTTGTGAATAAACTTTAATAATAATAGTAATAATAATTTACTTTATTCCAAAACAGTACTTGTGATGCAGAATGGAATTCCCAGCATTTTACTACAGTATTGCATCCAGTTAGTAAATTAACAATAAATTAAAATTCTACATAGATTATGGGTAATCTCAGTTAGTTTTGACAACAACATATTGGCATGTCGGTAGCAAAGCCAAAATCAAACAGACTGTTTGAAGGTGTTAGAAAAGTAGATAGATACTAGCAATATTTACTGGCGTAAGCGGTAACAAAAAGGTCAAGATATACAGTGTGAAAGAACGACGAAGAAGAATGTTTTAAGTGGAGTTTGTAAGGAAGAGAGAAACAAAGCTGCACATAACAAAAAAATAGAGAGAGAAGAGCAAAAGAAAGAAAGAAAACGTTGTACCTATACATGACATGTGTTGGAAAGACAAGATCCAGTTGTTCTACTGACTATTTAATAACTTAGCTATAGGTATCACGCCTAATGCTTTCTTCTTTGTCGTACAGAACACGAGCTAAGTAGGGTATGGTTGAATTTTTGTACTTACTAGTGTTAGCGTATAGTTTTCTATATAGGCTTCTGGTCCTGCCTGCCTGATGAAATACAAGGGGAGAGTTGTGAATGAAGAGGATGGTGTGAGTTAGATAGATAGAATGCATTCAGCCCATTTTTCTCACATGAGTCCATGTGCCTGTCAACCAGAATATTAACAAGCTGGTTAAGTGGCACGTTGCTTACCCTGCTGACAACCTTTAACATCCTGAGTAATAAGGCAAAGTCTGTTTGGAATTTGGAGGGATGTAAGGTAAAACCGTTTTCCTTGGACCACTGGCTGATTTCTGATAAAAAGCCACTTAGTTTAGTGCGGTCACTTTGACATTTGACAGGCAAAGATACAGTCAGGTCGTCAGCATATTTGACAAAATTAATGTCATTTGAAGATGGTAAGTCACGTAGAAAGAAAGAAAAGAGAAGTGGGGAGAGTACAGCACCTTGGGGGACACCAGCATCAGTGAGCACGGTAGAGGAGGATTTGCCTTTGTATACGGTATACTGCATTCTGTTTGAGAAGTAGGAATGCAACCAGCTTTTGACCCAGAACTCAGTTTATGTTACCGAGAGCTTATTTAGCAAGAGACATTTAGGTACAGAGTCGAAAGCAGAAGTGAAGTCGAGAAACGTGCAGCGGACGTATTTGGCACGTTTATCTAATGATGAAACGATACTGTTGTGTAAGACGGCTGCAGCGTCTAAAGTGCTCCTACCCTGTCTATAGGCAAATTGTTTGGGGTCTTCAAAACTTTTAAGGGAGGGTTCGAGTTTAAGAAGTACTAGTTTTTCCATGAGGCTTAGAAATAGGGAAGTGTTAGCAATAAGTCTGAAGTTCACGTTCTTGTTATTGCCAGGTTTAGGGACAGGGACTATTTTAATGTCTTTCGATGGAACAGGTACAACGTTTTTAGAGAAAGAAGCATCGAATCCCGGTGGGTGTGTACTGCTGAAGAGTTCCAAACTGGGATAGAGGAAACAGCTGTCCAGTACTCCCAAGATTTCCAATGATTCTCTAACTAATATCAGCTCATGATGAAATACTGTAACCAATCAATCAAATCCCTATAAACCAATACTTGAATATAAATATCTGTTGATTTTCTCAATAAACGATGTGTTGCCTGTCTCTTGTCTTCTGTCCTTACAATATGATATCGATGTTTTATCAAAGTTGCATTACTACTCACTCACTCACTCACTCAATCATTAAATATCTCTATGTCTCTTATATTTCTCTATCTTTTGTTTCCTATCTGTTTATAGTTTCAAGTCTACCAAAATCCAATGAAACCGATAAAGACATTATATTATGAAATTGAAAATTCGTTCACTCTGCTTGCAGAACTTATATTAGATCAAGTTGATGTTGTTAACGAAGTTCAGAGATTTGCACCTGTTCTACTCATATTTTCAAATCATTCCTTGGAGGATAATCAAGATTATTTAGAACAGAATGCAGTACAAGTGAATGCAGAAGAAGGTCCTCTTGGACGAAATATACAGGTATCTTTTCACTCTCCTTTTAATTTTAGTCCATATTTCTTCCTTTTACCTCTGTCTCTTTTTTTGATTTGTTCATCATAAACTGGCTCCATTCACGCGGTGAGGGATTATCCCTCATGAAGGTGAAAAGTCCGACGCCTAAAATCCAACCAGTGGATATCCAAGCGTACCTAGGTAGGAGGGCGGTGTGGAGGAATGTACATCGATCGACAGAATCTCAAAATTGATCAAATAACCTGTGAATCTGTATTGATCACTGGAAGGCAATGGAATGAAGCTTTTTTTTTCTTAACTCAGCTCCATCTGCCTAGTCAGTCAAACAGACTTCAAAGTCAAAAGTTTAGAGGGCTGGGTTTTGTGGATGGTTCGTTAAGACATGCCCTTGCCTCGGTCTAAGTGTTCAGACAGTATCCCGGCTATCTCAGAAACTATGAAATCTTGCCTTGTGTATCTTTTGGTGCGCATAATGTGCCACGTTTGAGTTTAAATGATAATGTTGACATTATAAAACACATTTATATCATATAACAGTATAAAAGATTTGTAGCTCAAGTAGGGAGGGTGAGGGAATTTAGATGTGGTACAGTTGCTCTCTCACAACCGGATGGTGTTGTTTAACAGAACGCAGCTTCCTTTTCCATCATTCATTTCACAGCACTAATTTTGGAAGAAACCAACTGAGGAGATTTAGAAACCCAAGTGTACAGAAAATCAACACACATATACACGCATCAAGACCAAATACTCATCTGTAACAGTGATAATTCAATGACTCACAAAACAAACTGTATGCAGACATTGTTTACAAGAGTTCAAACATACTGGAGGACTCCACTAATGGAGAGAAAAGAGGAAAAATACCTACTAACTGTCTTCAAGAAGAATGGATATCCTCAGAGTTTCATCAAAAACTGTCTCAACTGCAGTCATAACACCAGCAACAAGCCAACATCAAAGACCACATGAAAATTCACCAGTCTACCATATACATAAAATGTGTCTCTGAAGTAACACCTAGAATATTAAGACCATTTAAGACAGATAGATGGATAGATACAGCAAACAAGCCAGTCAGCCAGCCAGCTAGACATCACAATTACTTCATTCGATATTGTGAGAGCCGAACCGAAAGATCTAACAGGAAAAGAAGAAAGAAGTAATACCATTTACAAACTAAATTGTATGAACTGTTAGAAACATTACGTAGGTCAAAAAGGAGTCTCTTTCGAATAAGAATCCATGAACACAAATTAGCTGCAAAGAGACACGATATGTATATTCTCTCATCATATGGATCCATGTAGAAAAAATACGAACATGAATTTGATTCGGAGAGTACAGGAAACACCAAAAAATGCTGGAGCGTTCCTACAAGCTTCGTATACAAATGAATCAACCATCAGCTAACAAACACACATTTCCATCGACCACATTTACCAACTATTAAGGAATTAGATACATGATAAAAAGTCGTCAAATTCCAAGTCAGTCAGAACCATCAATACTAATAATAATGTAAATTAACAAGGAATCACAACAATCATTGTCAGCTGAAATATAACTATGCCATCATTCATTGACAATTCAAACGAGTTCACTTCATCATCAAAGCCTGTGCTGAACAGTCAATCTAACAATGGACAATGACAGCTTCGTAATTACATCGACTCCCTCAGGGATCACACAAGAAACAAATCAGAAAAGAAAAAAATCATCCACCTCAGCCACGAACTTCCTCTATATTATGATTTACTGGAAGATGTTACAATTTCAGTGAAAAAAAGTGTTTTATCAAACTCAAATGAAAATACTCACAACAAGGAATCATTCTCAGAAATCACAAGAAACGGTCAAAACCCAGTCAACATTAGTTAAGTTCATTTGAAATAGCACACAGTGATGTGTTGTATTGATATAACTGTATGCCGATCCAAGCACAAATTATTGCTCATAATCATATGAATCTAGTCACACGACTTCATAATTCCATTTAGATATTTCTATCTCTCCCTTTATCTCACTACACGATGCTGTTTTGTGCGACTTTGCATATATCTGGTATCGGTGTTGCATCATTTCGATTGCATATGCGCTGTATTTGATCGATAAATAAAAATACGTTAGCTGATCTCTCTTTCACTCCACCTAACTATATCACTCATTATCACTCTCACCCTGTCCCGCTCAACCTATTTTGTGATTACATGCAATGACCGAGATGCTTTTTTCATGTTATTCAGCATACCGAAATGAATCATTCCAGGCCTAGCTAAATTTTTATGTTCCAATAATCTGATTGACCCAAATCTACTAGTTTCGCCTATGTAACTTTTCTACACTATTATCGAAACCATTCGGAATTGATTACCACACATACAAACGAACACAATCAATCACTTCATATCAATCAATGTTATGCACAGTGCTCTTGAACTGTCTGTTAGAGACGGGTGTACCTGAGAAGATTGTTGAACACCTGAAAAACTCAAGCGGAAATACCTCAGGTGCAGTGAGGTCATACAACCAGTTATCATCATCACTGTCCTCAACTACTAGTGGAGTTAGCTGACAAGGTTGTCCAATTTCCTAACACTGTCTCTCTCTCTCTCTCTTTGACTTTGAAATCGATGACATTCTGGAGTCAGCTCTAAACGACGTCCAAGGTAGTGATGGTGGTGGTTGTGGTGTGGATCTGTTTCCTGGGGAAAGAAGACTTTTCAACCTCAAGTATGCAGACAAAATAATCTTACTGTGGGACAGCATCCAGGTTGACCAAATCAAACTCAACCAGCTGACTGACGACCAGTGTCTGTGTGTTTAGAACGTACCATTACAAGGTTGACAGGAATCTGTACACTCACTAACTGTTGCAGATGAACCGCTCCAAGCTGTAGACAAGATCATGTATCTGGGTAGTTATGTGGGTGCTGGCGAAGGTGTGACGGCCGAGATTTCTGAGCGTATCATGAAAGCTACGATGACATACATCAACTTTAGCCACCTCTGACGCCATCTAGCCGTCAGCCTGGTTGTCGATGGTTGGGTTGACAATGCTTCGGTGCGTGATCTCTTGCTCTACGCCTCTGTGAAACCTGACGTCTCCGAGCTGAAGATGTGTGTCTCCGCCGGATTGCTTGCATTCGGTGGCACCATCGTGTGAGTAATTCCGAAGTCCGTTGGCGTGTGTTTGGACACAGTGGAAATAACCATTCGTTGAGTGTCGTCATCTGGAAACACCGGCTTAAGTGGCTACACACATCTGCTATTAATGTCACTTCAGAGGCTTTTGTACTGATCTCTGTTCGCTAGCCAGCCGTGGGACAGGGTTGAAATTGCGGAGATATGATCAACCTATCACGTGGCGTCATGGGATGAAGAATATTTGTGAATTAGGCTAGATGTGATTGGTACATCACGACTCCTCCCTGGTTGTAGTCAGATAGATAGCTTGAACCGGTGGCTTGAATCATTATTGGATATGGCCAAGAATCGCAGTCGTGAACAGCGAACGTGATGCAATTTCCTTCTTTCTTCCCTCCCTCTGTTTGAACTTGTTAAATCTGACTGCTTTCCTCCAAGATGAAGTACTTTATCCGCTCTCTATCCATAGATTACTTTTTTCTTATGTGTTATTTTATTATTATTATGTGGCGTATCTTCTTGGTGCCATATTGTACCAAGGTCTTGTGCTTAAGCAATAGTAATAATGATGCACAGTCCAAAAAACCCGCCAAGCAGGTAAAGTAGTCAAGAGCAATACTATCGGTAAAATAAATGACATCAATTGTGATATATACCATATACTGGTCAAAGTGGGTATCTTCTTCGACTGTGAATCAGAGAACATGAAGTAGTTGTCTAAAGTCACTTGAACGTGTCTTTCTTTCACATTTAATGCAATACAGACAACTATGGACACCAATCTGACTCAATAGATGCAGACATTTCAAACAGATGAAACACTGAGATATGTCAGTGAACTCTAAGAATCTTAATAGTCACACGAATCAGTGGGGTTGACAGACACTCATTCTTATAGATCTTGATAATCCATCAGACGCTCACAAGCCACCACTGGCTCGCCTTGAGAGTTCTAGTGAGAAGGCGTAACCAATAGGGTTCCTCATATCAAGAGTGAAAAGAGATCAGCTACTCGCTACTTGGGACACTGGTTAGTGGTTGTGGCGTACATATTTGCCAATTGGCAGAGGTTGGTGTATTCATTTGTTGGCTATTGGATCGAGTCTCAGTAGTTGAATGGTCTATGAGCCTACTTTCTAACCAGAAGGTCCTAGACTGGAACCTTTAGCGGTGGGTGGATGCGTACTGATGAGGAATGCCTAACTAGGTTGACGAAACAGCTGCCCAGTACTCCCCAGCTGGTTTTCCGATAGTTCTTCAATATTAATTTTACCTGTTACATAATAATTAATTGTACCATACCCGATGTATATATTAATTGATGTTGCTTTAAATCATGGTATTTTGCGATCCAATGATATTCCTGATTCCTTTCTTCATCACCTTCCAAAACCCATGGTTGGATCCAAAAAATCGGATGAATTATTCACACGATGGTGAATGCAACCCATAGATGATAATTAGTTATATCCCGCACATTCATCAACATGTATTATCCTTTCTGACAATACTAAGCGCTGAACATTTGGGGATTAATACTTCGGTACTTCTATTGGATATTGTTTTCAATAAAACTTAATCTGCACACCCACACTTGATTAACCCTTCTTGCTCCCCTATAATGCTTCTTCCCTAATGAGGACAGTTTCATCGGTGTGAATAACTACTCCTTCTGCTGCAAGACACAGCCTCCAACTTCCACAACAGGCTATTTCTTGTCTCAGTTGCTGGTGCTGATCTTTCTTGCTGAGTTTTTCTAAAATTCAACAGTACAGTATATACGCCGTAGGATATCTAACCAGGACAGATTAGACTTGCAGAAAAAAAGTACCTAAGAAATATTGTAAAATCCTAAACCCTTACCGATCGATCACAAATCGATTGTCTCTTATGACATGCATCGTATGCATAGCAGTATTCATTTTCAACAAGTTGTTTGCATTGCTTTATTGTCGTTGTCTCTTCACAAACACAACTCTTCGTCGATTCAATTATTCTAGCGTTATTAATAAATACACCAGTTAAATGTTTGATCTTTGCGTCGGTGGCACAGTAGTTTGGACTCTCGCCGACCATGCACATGGTCCGGGGTTCGAGCCAGCACCGACGCACACCTGATATCTATGGTCGGCCTGCAAAATTTGGGCTACCGATATCCATGCTGAAAATTCCATACTTGTACCGAAAATACAGTGTGGAATCAAGCTGTAAATCAAAAATAAAATAAAAATAAATAAATTCACTAATCAGAGCTATAGTTGCACGCGTGATTTCCATCTAGAATAATCTTCCAAATCGATCGATGAATCTGACCAGTCCTCCAAGGTCATCATTAAAAGACCTTGACTGAGGCTGTGATACTATAACTTCGCCCTATTATCATTATTATTACTTTTTGTAGCGATTTTGCTTGATTGGTTGAAGGATTTCATCATGAGCTGATATCAGTCAGAGAACCATTGTAAAACCGGCCGCAGGGAGTATTGAACAGCTAGCTGTTTCGTCAGCCTAGTGTGGGACTCTGCTTCATCAGTACGTAGCCACTACAGTGGCTCGAACCCCAGGACCTTATGGTTACAAGGCGAACGAGCTCATAGACCATTAGGTCACTGAGATCCGATCCAACGGCCCGTAAATTCTAACTTCTTCCAATTCATGACATAGCGCGACCGCTAGCCAATGTCTCATCTTCAACCTGCTCCACCCTACTGGTCACGGCTTCCCACTAGTATCCCAGGTTAACTACCTGAATAGGGCCAGTCGCTAGTGAGCATCAGATTAAATTTTTCAAGTATTGAATTTTGTACGGTTTTTGTTTGATTGCATGGAGGATTTCATCATGAGCTGATATCAGTCAACGAACTTATTATTGTTGTTATTATTACCATGTAACTTAAATAGCTTTTTATGTCTGCGTTTTTGGTTATTTATTTATTTATCTTTTTGACTTCTCTATTGTCTCCACCAGTCAACATTTATTGAATTAGGAACACGAAAGTCGAAGACTGACAGTCATCAAGAATGGATATCACCGAATGCCTATTTACATTTTCCAGCGGCGTTTTGGACGAACAGAGAAGAAAATAAAGCTCAGGCGGTAAAACTCGGCCCGAGAAGAATTTTCAACCACAAGGTGATAAAAACGCGAACTTATCATCTAAGCTTACCGTTTGCATTCTATGGCAGTAGATTTGAACAGATTCATGCTGAGGCAAACGTTATGCATGTAGCAGCACGTGAACAAATTATTAATCTGGGCAGTCCAAAATCCTCTTACTACATAGAAACGAATTATTCCTCTTGGTAAGCTAAGCTATATTTTGTCTTTGAGTTCTAATAATAGTAATAATAATTTGCTTTATTCCAAAACAGTACTTGTGATACAGAATGGAATTCTCAGCATTTTACTACAGTATTGCCTCCAGTTAGTAAATTAACAATAAATTAAAACTCTACATAGATTATGGGTAATCTCAGTTAGTTTTGACAACAACATATTGGCATGTCGGTAGCAAAGCCAAAATTAAACAGACTGTTTGAAGGTGTTAGAAAAGTAGATAGATACTAGCAATATTTACTGGCGTAAGCGGTAACAAAAAGGTCGAGATATACAGAGTGTGAAAGAACGAAGAAGAGTGTTTTCAGTGGAGTTTGTAAGGAAGAGAGAAACAAAGCTTCACATAACAAAAAAATAGAGAGAGAAGAGCAAAAGAAAGAAAGAAAACGTTGTACCTATAAATGATATGAGTTGGAAAGACAAGATCCAGTTGTTCTACTGACTATTTAATAACTTAGCTATAGGTATCACGCCTAATGCTTTCTTCTTTGTCGTACAGAACACGAGCTAAGTAGGGTATGGTTGAATTTTTGTACTTACTAGTGTTAGCGTATAGTTTTCTATATAGGCTTCTGGTCCTGCCTGCCTGATGAGATACAAGGGGAGAGTTGTGAATAAGGAGCGTGGTGATGTGAGTTAGATAGATAGAATGGATTAAGCCCATTTTTTTCACATGAGTCCATGTGCCTGTCAACCAGAATATTAACAAGCTGGTTAAGTGGCACGTAGGTTACCCTGCTGACAACCTTTAACATCCTGCGTATTAAGGCATAGTCTTTCTTCAGTAGCCCTGGAAAAACTAAGGGGGGTGGGGGAACAATAGAGAATAATAGGCAGAATACGGGAGTTAGCAAATTGTAGGAGTAAGGGTTGGGTTATTGCAGAATGTCTTAACTTCTTGATGTAGAAGGTGAGACGGAATATTTTCTTAGATTCTTATCGAAATTATAAAGAAGGAGATTTAGATTCTTTTTGAAATTATTTGGGAAGAAGATTTGTAGCCTACATGGATAATATTGAATGAGATGTGTTGTCTGAGAAGATGATTGATTTAATTGCGAAGATTTCATCGACCTCTTCACCTTCCTAACCACCATTCTAGACAACATCTTCCTTCCTTCAGTGCATCTCTCAGTATGAAATGAACTTATTCAAATTCCCCTTGTGAATGATGATATAATTGTATATCCCTAATGATAACCGTTGTAGTGACTGATCAACTTTTCTATTAATCATTTTGATTCATCACTGACTCGGAATTCGAACTTCCTTGTCGTGTGATGATTTACGTTTTATTATCAGTTGATAAATTTGGTCTATAGTGATGTGTTTATCGATTGCTGATTCATCGGAGTACCAGACTTCTAGAAAGTCGCTGACATTATCGGTGTTTCTTCTGTTTGAAATTTCTACACATTCTTCCAATCATTTCGACATTGTCGAAATCAGTCTTATGTCCTCTGTCCATCGCATGCATTACTATAGCCGATCTTTTTTTCTAGACTTTTTAATTCTACTTCATTTCTAGGTGGGGACGTTTCGTGCATAGTCTATGTTCATTCACTCTGACCTTCATCTGTCTACTGCTCTCCCCTATACATAGCATGCATCACATTCTGAACACTTTATCTTGTAGATACATTTACTTTGTGACATTTCGGGGACTATATCTTTGACATGCACCAGTGCTTTCTCCAGAGAATTAGAAGGTTTGACATAGACTTTAATATTATATGAAGCAAATAGTCTTTGAAGTTGTTCATCTATGTCCTTTCGTCGTCTATAGCCAAGATTTTTCAATTTTTTGTTTTCTCTTATGTGCTCCTTTCTATTGATGATATTATCTAGTAGCTTTTCAGGATAACCATTTCCAATCAAAATCTGTTTCAAATTGGTTATCTCGTTCTCCATATCACCATCATTATCTGTTGTTATAATGCTTCTAGCTCTGTTATAACGAGATTGAAAGATTCTGGCTGATCATCTTGTCGTCAGCATCAGTAAAAAGTGAAGCAGATGGCTGTTGGTCATAATCTGTTGAAAATACTTATGGCATGAGTATTTTGTACAATAAACTAGTGTAAGCAACTTGCCGTCTTCGTTACTTTCGCTGATACAATCTGATAACATATTTAGATTTCAAGTAACCTGTTAACAGAATCTTTTCAACATTGGAGAATTCATGTTACTTTTATAAAGGGAAGGCAGAAGAAGGAAATTGCAGCACGTTCGCTAATGATGACTGCAATTCTTTGCTGCACCTAATAACGTCTCGAGTGAGCCACCGATTCGAGCCATCTCTCCGACTTCCAACCAGGGAGGAGTCGTGATGTACCAATCACATCTAGCCTAACTCACAAATATCCATCACCGCATGATATTGCGTGATAGGCTGACCATCTCTCTCCTTTTTCCACCCTGTCTCACAGCTGGCTAGCAAACAGAGATCAGTAGATAAGCCTCTGAAGTGACATTGTTGGCAGATGTCGTAGCCACTGAAGCCGGTGTTTCCAGATGACAACACTCAACGAATGGTTATTTCCACTGTGTCCAAACACACGCCAACGGACCTCAACATTAATCACATGATGGTGCCACCGAATGCAAGCAATCCGGCGGAGACACACATCTTCAGCTCGGAGACGTCAGGTTTCACAGAGGCGTAAAGCAAGAGATCATGCACCGAAGCATTGTCAACCCAACCATCGACAACCAGGCTGACGGCTAGATGGCGTCAGAGGTGGCTAAAGTTGATGTATGTCATCGTAGCTTTCATGATACGCTCAGAAATCTCGGCCGTCACACCTTCGCCAGCACCCACATAACTACCCAGATACATGATCTTGTCGACAGCTTGGAGCGGTTCATCTGCAACAGTTAGTGAGTGTACAGATTCCTGTCAACCTTGTAATGGTACGTTCTAAACACACAGACACTGGTCGTCAGTCAGCTGGTTGAGTTTGATTTGGTCAACCTGGATGCTGTCCCACAGTAAGATTATTTTATCTGCATACTTGAGGTTGAAAAGTCTTCTTTCCCCAGGAAACAGATCCACACCACAACCACCACCATCACTACCTTGGACGTCGTTTAGAGCTGACTCCAGAATGTCATCGATTTCAAAGTCAAAGAGAGAGAGAGAGAGACAGTGTTAGGAAATTGGACAACCTTGTCGGGTACCTCCACTAATAGTTGGGGACAGTGATGATGATAACTGGTTGTATGACCTCACTGCACCTGAGGTATTTCCGCTTGAGTTTTTCAGGTGTTCAACAATCTTCTCAGGTACACCCGTCTCTAACAGACAGTTCAAGAGCACTGTGCATAACATTGATTGATATGAAGTGATTGATTGTGTTCGTTTGTATGTGTGGTAATCAATTCCGAATGGTTTCGATAATAGTGTAGAAAAGTTACATAGGCGAAACTAGTAGATTTGGGTCAATCAGATTATTGGAACATAAAAATTTAGCTAGGCCTGGAATGATTCATTTCGGTATGCTGAATAACATGAAAAAAGCATCTCGGTCATTGCATGTAATCACAAAATAGGTTGAGTGGGACAGGGTGAGAGTGATAATGAGTGATATAGTTAGGTGGAGTGAAAGAGAGATCAGCTAACGTATTTTTATTTATCGATCGTATACAGCACATGTGCAATCGAAATGATACAACACCGATACCAGATATATGCAAAGTCGCACAAAACAGCATCGTGTAGTGAGATAGAGGGAGAGATAGAAATATCTAAATGGAATTATGAAGTCGTGTGACTAGATTCATATGATTATGAGCAATAATTTTTGTTGGATCGGCATACAGTTATATCAATACATCACATCACTGTGTGCTATTTCAAATGAACTTAACTAATGTTGACTGGGTTTTGACCGTTTCTTGTGATTTCTGAGAATGATTCCTTGTTGTGAGTATTTTCATTTGAGTTTGATAAAACACGTTTTTCACTGAAATTGTAACATCTTCCAGTAAATCATAATATAGAGGAAGTTCGTGGCTGAGGTGGATGATTTTTTTCTTTTCTGATTTGTTTCTTGTGTGATCCCTGAGGGAGTCGATGTAATTACGAAGCTCTCATTGTCCACTAGTTAGATTGACCTCTTCGGCACAGGCTTTGATGATGAAGTGAACTCGTTTGAATTGTCAATGAATGATGGCATAGTTATATTTCAGCTGACAATGATTGTTGTGATTCCTTGTTAATTTACATTATTATTAGTATTGATGGTTCTGACTGACTTGGAATTTGACGACTTTTTATCATGTATCTAATTCCTTAATAGTTGGTAAATGTGGTCGACGGAAATGTGTGTTTGTTAGCTGATGGTTGATTCATTTGTATACGAAGCTTGTAGGAACGCTCCAGCATTTTTTGGTGTTTCCTGTACTCTCCGAATCAAATTCATGTTCGTATTTTTTCTACATGGATCCATATGATGAGAGAATATACATATCGTGTCTCTTTGCAGCTAATTTGTGTTCATGGATTCTTATTCGAAAGAGACTCCTTTTTGACCTACGTAATGTTTCTAACAGTTCATACAATTTAGTTTGTAAATGGTATTACTTCTTTCTTCTTTTCCTGTTAGGTCTTTCGGTTCGGTTCTCACAATATCGAATGAAGTAATTGTGATGTCTAGCTGGCTGGCTGACTGGCTTGTTTGCTGTATCTATCCATCTATCTGTCTTAAATGGTCTTAATATTCTAGGTGTTATTTCAGAGACACATTTTATGTATGTGGTAGACTGGTGAATTTTCATATGGTCTTTGATGTTGGCTTGTTGTTGGTGTTATGACTGCAGTTGAGACAGTTTTTGATGAAACTCTGAGGATATGCATTCTTCTTGAAGACAGTTAGTAGGTATTTTTCCTCAATTCTTCTCGTAGCAGGAGTGGTACGGTGAGTTTGATCTCTTTCTGCTCGCAGACCATTAAGCCAATGGGACCCGCCAATCCGATGACCATCCCATGAATTCTAACTTTTTCCAATTCATGACAGAGCGACTGCTTCGCAATTGTCTACAAGTTGCTCGCCTTGTAACCAGATGGTCTTGGGTTCGAACTACTGTGGTGGGTGCGTACTGCTGAAGCAGAGTCCCAGAGTAGGCTGACGAAACAACTGTCCAATACTCCCTGCGGCTGGTTTACGAATTGTTCTCTAACTGATGTCAGCCCTTGATGAAATCCTCCAACCAACTGGGAAAAGTCTGTAAATAAATTGATTTTAAATCAAACACATAAAGAAACAATAAATGACATCTATTACATAAGAGGTGATGACTCTTGCAGTGCCAAATGGTCTAGTCGATAATGCTTTTCGGTGATCGAGACGACGCATATTTGATTCGTCGTGTCAGTGGGGACACTATTAACTTATTCACTCATTCACTCGCATTTAATGAAGAATGCAGAGACACTTTCCAAGTTGATGAGCCCCAGTTAGGATGAAGTACGTGCACATTCTAGATTCTACGGTTAGTCAATATTCAGCAAATTATTTACTGGTCACTTTATTGTTATTCTTACTATTATTATTTCTACAAGCTGACTGACATCAGCTAGAGAACCATTGAAAACCAGCACTAGAGGACTGGACAGCTATTTCATCCTAGTTTTGGCAATCATCCCCAGTACGCAACCACTGAAGTTCGAACCCAGGATGTGGTTACAAGGCACGCTAGCTGGTAGACCATTCATTCAATGACTAGCCGCCCATGGATTCCAACTTCTACCAATTTACGATTTAGAGCGGGACCACCAACCAATGTCGTCGGTTGGGGGACATCCATCGTGACACTTGACGTCTAGGTGAACCTCACTGGTCATGACTTATCACTAGAACTCTAGGAAACTCCGTTCTGTAGCAAGTTACTAGCGAGCATCAGAGCTGAATGGTATACGAGCTAGCTTGCCTTGTAACTGGAAGGTCCTGTGTTTGAACTTTGACGGTGGGCGCTTACTGCTGATGACTGCCAAAACTAGGATGAAACAGCTGGCTGTCCAGTACTCCCTGTGGTTGGTTTTCAATGGTTCTCAAACTGATATCAATCCGTCATCAACTCGTAAAAACTATTATTATTATTATCATTTTGGTGAGATTTAATCCATCCGCATTTTTTTTTCATTCATGTAGGAAATTCCTACTGGGTTTGGGTCTTCCAAACATTATCGTCACTGAACCACCGAGTGGTACTGGCACCACTTCAAGTATTGTAGGTGCATTTTTGGGTGGTATTGGTATCATATGCGGAATTATTACAGGTGTATACATTGTACGTCGTGCACTTATACGTTATCATCGAATTCCAGCGTCGAATGAAATCGATGAAGTTGCTGAAAATAATAATAATAACAATAATAATAATATTGGTGATCTTAATACTAATGGCAGATATATAGAACAATGTCAATATGAGAAACTGGTTCAACCTTTACCGGATCATTAACTCATGGAGAAAATTCTCAAAGTGTTCATCTTTTTAATCCAGTCAGTCATTTACAAACATCTGCCTTTATGTCAAATGATCCACCAGCTTATGGATCATTATCATTTAGATCGGATCAACCTAATTACTGACAGACGAAGTATGTGTGTGTGTGTGTCTGTGTATGTACGTATGTGCCCTCGACTTTAATCATTCACTCACTGATTGATACATTCTTTCTTTCTTTCTAAACACGCTATTTTCTCATTATCATCACCATCAGATCAATTTATTGTAATACTCTTTTTTATGACGTAATCATTTCTGTTTTAAATAAGATAATATTTGATAAATAGAGTTGTTTTGAATTTCCCGCTAATCAATAATTTAGCTAGATATATTATTATTATTATTATCACCTTGAGTCCCGAAAATAACATACGGCTTCAAAGGAACATTCCAACTTCACCCTGTCAACTGTTGTTCTGTAAAGCGAGCCCCACAATTTCACATCTGCTTTCATCCCTCCCCGCTCATTATGACCCTCGGATTCACACCTAACTAGTCGTTCTCCATTCAGCTTCTAATCAAGGAGCTGTCTGGCTTGAGATGCCAAACACACACCAGTCTCTTCAGCGTGTGTCTCCAATCAATCTCCATATCATTCCGCATATTTCTTGATCAATAGCTTATCGCCTGTTCATTCGTTCACAGAATTTCTTATTCCAAACTCTTCTCTCTCTCTCTCTCTCTCTCTCTGACTGGTAATCTGATCTTCAGTTTGCAGACAGCGAAGTGGACAGCTGTTGATAAAAGTCTTTATTAGTCTTGGATCGGTTTTCACTCTCCGTTGTCTGCAACAAAGCGCGTATCCTAATTACGTAGCTGTCGAGTCACCTGACAACTCCAGTAGGTTGAATAAAGCAGCTCAGTATTCAGAAAGAAGACAAAGTAATAAGTTTGACAGGGTGCTTCAACTAAGCTCTAATCCTAAACATCATAATTTTGAAAATACGTCTAATCATATAATTCTAGATACTAACAGTTTGAACAGACATGAAGGTGTGATGTTAGCTGACGCATAGGAAATCCTGATTAATAAATAAAAATGGATATGTATCACGAATTAATAAAACTTGGTCGAAATTCCCGACTGTCTATATCTTCTTATGGAGACGTTAAGACATTGTTTTACAACTGTTTACCCACACACACACTTTTTGTTTAAAGTGTTTAACAAAAGTAGACTAATTTTGGAAGTCTGAATTCAAATTTTGATCACAGATCATACAATTTTTTGTTTATTATACATGTCGATACCTGTTTCATGATTCATATGACTGGACAAAGAATTTAAAAACAAGTGATGTCCCGCTTTTTATATATGAACCTCTGTTATGTTAATTTCGATTAATTTCCCTGAAGAAGTTCTGACCAGTTTGCCGAACATAAGAAACGTTGGAATTAGTCATTTCAATCTCGCTGAGATTTTACAAATTTAATTTTTAACAAATGTCTACTTCTCACTCGGCCTTCAATCATTATTTTGGAACTATTCGGTGAAATCTTGATCACAGTTTATATGAATAATAATAATAATAATATTGCTATATCGTTATATGTCAAATGAAACTATTCATAATACACCAGCTCTACCTATTTCGGTAATAACTGCACGAACAACATCATTGACTTAGGTGTAAGTCTCCTTCCCCCTCCTCTACCCGTACAAATCCACGACAATCAAATATTCATACATATATATCGACTTTTGCTTTCAAATAAAAATCGAAACAGGTGTAATGGTTATAAAGCTGCATTATTATTATTATTATTCCCTTGGGTCCTAGTGGAATATAGGGCTTCAACTGCACGTCTCCATTTGCCACTTCTGTCTTCCTTCTGCTGTACTTTTCACCTGCATCCATGTTAGTCCATACTCTTTCAACTCCTCTTCATACGATCTCCTCCATGTCACCCTTGCACTGACGTCCAACTCGCCTCTTCCCTTTCGGCCTGGTTCCACTCGAGCAATGGCCTGACGTTCGCGCGATGTCATCAACCGGCCTCCTCAGAGAGCGTCAAATCCATCTCCACTTTCTCCTGCATATTTGTTGGTTGGCGATTGGTTCTTGTTTTGTTTGTTTGTTCCCATAGTTTCTTGTTGGTGATTCTTTCCGGCCCGGACCGGCCATCTGATCTTCAGTATAGAGCCAGCGAAGACAGTTGTTGGTTGATAAATGTAACGTCAGCAATAGGCTGTTGGAAATATTCTTTGTGACCCGACCGCCAAGTTTCTGACCCGTATAGAAGAACTGAATGACTTGATGTTTGTATTGAGGATCCTACCGAATTTTGTTGTTGATGCTGGCTGAGTGAAGAAGATTTCCAGATTGGTTTCAGGTTGATGAATGCGTTTCTCGCCTTCTCGATTCTCAACTTGACATCCTTGTCCGTTCCGACTGCCTGCAGTTGAGACAATGCTCCTAGATAAGTGAATGAAGTAACCTCTTTCAAATCTTTCCCGTTGATGGTGATTGGCACTGGATGTTGCTGTTGTTGTTATTGTTGGATGGTTGGTTATTTTCGTAACCTCCGTTTTGTCTATGTTCACTTGGAGTCCTGTCTTCTCTGGCTGCTTCTTTGACCAGTTTATCGGTTTTCGCTTAAAAGTCTTCTATTTTGTGTGACATCAAACATAAATCATCCACGCGCGAAATCCAGGTCTTCTAGGTTTTTCGCGTCGGTCCAGGATATTCCTGTCTTCTCGTTTCCCACTGTCTGACGCATAATCCAGTCCACCACAATTAGGAATATCATTGGTGATAATAAGCACCCTTGTCTGACTCCTGCGTTTACTCCAAACGCCTCACTGAGTTTTCCGTTGTGGATCACTTGACATGTGCCGTTGTAGTACAGCTGTTGAATAAGGTTGATGAATATTTGGGATACGCCGTAGTTTCCAAATTGCTTCACAGTCAACGCTGTCGAAGGACTTCTCAAAGTCTATAAGGTTGATGTAGAGGTTTGATTGCCATTCCATGCTTTGTTCTGTGATGATGATGCATAGAGTTGCAATCTGGTCAGAACTTGATTTGCCTATAAAGTTACATTAAAAACCATTAACTATTTAATAATATACATTTGACCTCCTGGTCCGTCACTAGGCATAAAGACAGTAGTGAAAAATCTTTCAAGTAAAGTTAAAGTATCCCATCCGCTGAGATGCGAAAGCATGGGTGACATTGAGCTGTCCAATCATACAAATAAGTGATTTTCACACAATAAATGATATTTATTTACAATAAAATACATCAAAACACATTTAACAGGGTATCTTTCTCTGACATGACTTAAAAATATCTCGGAATTATAGTGAGGAGTATCGGTCTTTAAGTCAGACCGGTTTATGTGCTTGTTTTCACTGATGTGACTGAAGAGGAGCTTATTTTTGTGAGGCGTTTATCAGTCTTATTATGCTTTGCAGCCTAACTCAAAAGCTATCGATTGAATTACGATGGTTTCTAGTAGGGGGATGGACGACTACCTACACTAGGGAAATGTGGATAATAAAACTAATTAATAATAATAATAATGATAATAATAATAATATCAACCCCAAACCTTACTTTAACCCTAATCCTAACTCCAAAAGCTATTAACAAATTGTTCGAAAAGTAGTTCAAAACAAGATCCCGGTGAAATTTACACCGGGAATTTGAGGATGGTGTTCACATTGGCAATATAATAGTGGTGAGTCTTGTTATGCAACGACAAGTATCCGTTCGAGGTCACTGGAACGTGATACTTTAACTTCGTCTGTTTTTCCATCATCTATCGAGGTATGGAATAGCTTGATAAGGGCCTCTAGATGTCAACTACTCCAAACAGACAGTGGAAACTGTAGCTGTTTATGCCCAAAGGAACCTGAGCTCTCCTCTAGCCAGTAATACTGCCTTGATACCTATGAATCCATGAATTTTGTCTGATTTTTTTAAAGGACATCCGAGCTGGTAACAGACAAAGCGGTCTGGAGTATCCCCTGCCTATGCTACTAACATTATACAACGGTTAACTGCTTTTCCAACTTGCTACATGAGCGAGAACACATAACAAGGTGAAATGGGAAAGAGGAGTAATATTTACACAAAGAATCAAAGAATGCCTACACTGGTGAGTGAAGTAGTAGGCGTCATAAGTGGATAAATCCATAGTTATCTGTCTGCCTGCCTGTCTATCTATCCATCTATCTACGCGACAACTATGATTGGTTCATTTTTCAGAAGATTTATTGATCCATATATCTAGGTAATTTGGAATTTATAAATTGTCAGATTCTAGCATACCTCGGCAGTACAGATATCAGAAGAAGGGGAAATCTAATGTGGTGATGATGGGAGTAATGTTTTTCTGTGTGGGTAGGGTGTTGGATTCAAGTTGTCAGCTTGTCTGGCAGGAATTTGATTGGTTTCAAGTTTAATCACGGATTGATATCAATTAGAGGATCGCTGCAAACCAACAGAGAGCAGTGGACAGCTGTTTCGTCAGCCTAGTGTGGCACTCATTGGCAGTACTCACCCAACTGGATTTGAAACTAGGAGCTTCAGGTTATAGGATAAGCTCACAGACCATTCAGCCAATGGGATCCGACTCAGTTGTCTGTGAATCTTAACCTCAACCAACCTACCGATTGAACTGCAAGACTTGAACTACTCATGGATACTCATTATCTGGTGGAGGTACAGCGTAGAAGTTGCCACGTTCTACAGGCGGGCAGTGAAAGAAATTCTAAGGAATGATAATGAAGGAAAATATACAAGGGAAAGAATGAATAAATTGAGAGGTAACTCTAAATATAAGCGACCCAAACAAACTAAGGACTGAATTAAACGGACGTAAAAACCTTGATCAACCAATCAGAAGGGCCAGTAGTACACGCGCGTAACTTTAAAAAACTCCTTTATAGACACCAAATTCAGTGTAAAAAAATAGTTGTACGTAGTTATTTTCTCACATAGGTCCCAAGAACATCTCCTCATTCCTTAGCGTGGTCTTCAATGATAGTTCGAACCTATTTCTGTAGCTAGATTCTTCCGGATAACTATGTATCATGCTGTTTCGTGACCCACTCACTACTCTACAGCTCTCATGAACCTAGAAAGGAAAGACAACTTTACGGATAGATTTTATGTAACGACAGGCTGGACATTTGTACACTTATCCGTTAACATCGTCTTAAAACCTCCGCAAAGACATTACTCTTCCACATCTACAAGCTTCCTATAAAGCAATTGTCCCTACAGTACTCATATACCACCTCTTGATGGAA